CTCTCCTTAGAAACACTCATACTTCATGGGCTGAGTTTGTGCTGACTCTCCAAAAATCCCACAGGGAACTGACTTCAGGCTGTACCTCTGCAACAGTTGGGAAGAAATCTGAAGCAGAGGGTAGCAGCCTTTCCAAAGAGAAAATGTATGAATGGACAGATAAAGATCTCAACAGAAACATCAGTGTTGCTTCATCTGCAGGTGGAGAACAAATGGAACAAAGGTTTTCATCTTAAATACACACCTAGAATGGGAAAGAAGTGTTGCAATGACCTTTTGATTTTTTCCTTTACAGACTGCCTGGAAAAGGTACAGAGTATTGTACGGGTTGCAGTCTGCTCTTTTTCACTGCCACAGCTCTCCTGCACAGAGCGCAGAATGACAAAATACTTCATGCTCAGCTAGGGAGATGTCTTTCATCTGCAAAGGGTAGTCCAGGGCCAGGTGTATCAACCTTTGCATAAAGCCACTGACCTCAGAGGAAAGGGCTGCCACTGCTGCACTCGCAGGTGAAACAGGAGAACTTCTCTCACTTTAATGGTCTAGCATGGAGGGTGCTGTTTTCCCTCCCAGCTTCTACAGACCGTAGTTTCACTGGCTGTTTATTTAATACTGACTAATCCTGGAATCAAGCGATAGCTTTACCAGTAGGGGAGATGGAAAGCTGAAGCACATACTGTGTGAGAAAAAGGAAAGCATAATATGAAAAGCAAATGCTTTTACTCCTCTTTCAGATGCGATCTAGATTATTAAAACGCTAACTAAAAGATTTGGTAAGAAAAAGAGCAAATTATTTAAACTTACTGCTGTTTAACAAAGTACTTAAAGACATGTCCTTCCTCTCTTTTCTTCTCTCCAGATTCATTCTTTCTAAAAACAAATGTACCGAAAACTGAACTTTAAAAAAGTGAATGAAGCTTTCGTAAAAACACATTGATGAAGTCTTATACCAGAATTAGAGAGAACTGGGCATCTACAGATTTACATAGCCCATTTAAACAACATATCTTATACCTGCAAAGATCGCTGAATTTCTACTAGAGTTATCAAAACATCAGAACTTTGCAGCTGTAAAATAACAGCCTTAACGCTGAATTCATTTTGCGATTTGTGCTTAATTCCAAATACAGTTAAATATCAAAGACTTCACAGCCCACTAAACTCCAGAATTTAGGATAAACTGCATTTTCCATTGCAAGCAGTTTGGAAAAAGTTATCTAAGGCAGGGAAGTATTAGGACTCAGCTCTTCCTGTAAGTTGGTCAGCCTTTATTTTTAGTTTTCAATTGTCAGTATTTTTTTCCCTTTTGTAAAGGAAGTGTAAAGAACTGCCAGTACTTGAGGCTAAATTACTTTATTTACAGGTCCAGCATGACACAAACAGCACTGATGAAACTATACAGCATTCAGTCTAGTCCAGCACCTTCAGCTGGCACGACCTCTAATGTAAAGGAATAAAAGCTAAGACTACGTTACGTTTAGTTACTGGCTTGTTGATCTCACACTACCTGAAAAAACGCCCCTGAAAACTCAGCACCTTGGGGAAGGTACAAGCTACTTTTCCAGATTAAATTCTTAATGCTACTTCTACATCAACTCTTTGTGGGGTCACATTGTGGTGTAGGATAACAGTCCCTGTAAAAATAGCCACTAAACGCTTCCTTTACTGAAGTGCCTGGGAATAGTGCACAGCAAGGGATTCACTCAGCCATGCTAAATTAGAAAAGCCATCTTATTTCACTGGAAGACCATAAAGGCTTCCAACTCAAATCCTATACTTGCAAAATAAATCAATTCATAGATTAAGTCTGTCATCTGGCTGCTTTACAAACAGCAGACTATAGCAAACATACTAATATTGTGTTTGATCCCTATCCTGAGCTACTGCTCACAGAGAAAAAGGTAGGAAACCTCGTACTTTGAAAACGTCAAAGGAGAGGGAAAGGTGTTCAGAACAGAAACAAACCGATATTTAAACAGGAAATATTTCTAGGCTGTAATTAATGCTTTCATTAAAGCTACAGTGCACACAAAGCCAAGATTTCCTGAAGGAGAATGCCAGATCAGAAGACTCCAGCAACAGAGACCTCTGTGGTAAATGATGTTAAAAGCTGAAGCGCTTAGATATTTTATTAAGCGCAATCACTGAGGTGACATTTGTTCTACCAACCACTGCATAAAGCACGTGACTACCTTGTGCAGACCTACTGAAACTAACCTTTACACCAGCGAGCTTAGGTACTGCTAAATAACACTGCTGGTTTATCCATATAGGTCATGGAGGCCCCTCTGCGACTTTAGTAAATACCCAGCAGAATAGACCATACTGACCTCTTTGCTACAGTAGCTGAATTATAGCAGATCTGACGAAGCAGAGTTATCCCTTTTTAACAGAAGATTTCCTGCCTGACTGCATAAGATTCCTACAGGGTTTTATTTTTATAATATCTAGTTACAGATTAAGCTGCAATTTAAAGAGATACTACCTTTATGCCTTTTCTTATAAGGCTGATGATGCGTATTCTGGAAGGAAGGCACACAGAAGGAAGGCACTGCTCTAAAATTCTGCAGCTCCAGTAAACCTGAAGAAGTTTAACATGGTTGAATCATGCTATTATAAGCCTATCAAATCCCAGTTTCTCTTAAAGAGAATCAATCTTCTCCTCTCCTGTGTCATTAAGTGAAAGCCCCTGTAATGCTTTAGACAAAGTTTCAACTAACACTTCAAACTTTGAAGAAGGAATGTAACAAAACTTCCTTTCTTCCTTAAAAAAAAATTCAAGTATATACTAGGACAAAGCCAGTAGTCTCAAGAACAGACCCACTGTCATAATGAAACGAAAATGAAAATGTAAGCTGTGGGAGAGGATTAGATACTGGAACGTGAACCAACAGGTAAACAGGGACTCACAGGAGGAGGAATAACCACTACCACCAACTAAAGCATAGAGAAGCCTTCAATTACCAGTTGCTCATTAAGTAGGGTTGTGAGAGTCTTTCAAGGTTAGAAAGTTCAATTTGCAGAAAGTAAAGAACGGCTGGGCTAGACAGGGTAACTTTAAGATACTTTTAGGCTCAATTCCCTATCCCATGTCTGGAAACTCCCCAGACTCTCATATAAGATCACCCTGAAACAAAAGCAACTAATAGGTTTGTCAGTCTCTTACGTTAGCAGTCTTTTGTGTATCAGCTTGATTTTCCTCATCTCAGCACTTGAAAATTCAGTTAGTGTCTGCTGCGCAGGAATGGACAAGGACAGCAGGCACATGGAATGTTAATGCAGCAGAACCATAAACATACTGCACAGGAGAGTAAGGAGAATTTTATTCCTACGGCCATTAAATCCTATCAACTTCTCTGATCATGTCCTTCACTTTCAGCAGTTGTATACAATATTCAGGTGAGTCATGCCATATTTTTATTAAGAGTACTGAAGGTATAAGCAAAATGAAGCACAACAACACTTGTGGAATTCCGAGTCTGAGCCTGTAAGCTGCCTTTTCTGCACTAACTTCCTATTCATGTGTTAATTCATATTAAAAATGAAAGTCCAAAACACATGACAGCAGTACGAGAACAAAATAGTCATGTGAAAATAGTTTCTCTACTCGCAGTTTCCTCATATCGTGCAGAAGACTGCCATCTGCTGCTGACACCACTGTTTTTAAGTATATATTTTGCATGCATGGTAATGGGCAATACATCACTACTGAAAAGCTGAAAACCTACTAAGACTTACAGTTCTATGACACCAATCTGAAAAATAAAGTCACTAGTACACTAGTATTCCCGTAGCCTAAAGCAAGGATCTGTGAGAGACGAATTCCCCCCTAACTCCAGCATGCCGTGGGATCTATACCTTAATGGCTGTATAATATGTCATTCCTGCCCAGCCCTAGCTTAATCGTTTCTGCTTCAGAATTAGTCACTTTGCTTGAGCTGATGCTCCGTTTTGTTTTCCCTTTACAAATGCAACTACCATCTATTCTCTCTCCCTTGCCCCCCCTTACCATGCTCCTTAAGGAAAAGGCAACAAAAGTTAAGGTTGCAAAGGGATGGGAAACCAGGAGCAAGATACAGCTTGTCCTCAGGGAAGGAAAAGACGCAGAGGCCTAGAACAGCGCATCCATGATGGACCAAGACGTGTTCTCTGGTAGAGCCACCAGATTACAACAAACGAGTAAGAACTACACTCATTTCATTCTACCCCCAATTATTCACCTGATGCCTTTGAGCCACAGTGGAGGGAATATCAGTGGAACACCTGAACCCATCATAAGCTGAAGGAGGGATTACTGACAACGTATTCTCTGCTGGCTACCCTGCCTGTGGCGGGCAGAGGTGGCAGTTTTAAGAAAAGGAGTACTTGCCCCGTTGCCACTTGGTATGAGGGGAAAAAACTGGATGCAGGCACTACTTTTCTGTTCTAACCAGCAAGTGAAGCCAAGTCAGAAGCTACAGGGAGATGCAATATTGGCACCTTGAAGGCTTATTAAAAATAAACAGTGTCACTGGGATCCGAAAGAGGGCTGGGAGGTAGCACTTTGCTACCTTACTTTTGTGTGGTATTACATTTATTTAGATCTCAGTATGGTTCCTGTTACTGATTTCACACAGAGAAGACTCTATACTCACTGTAGTTATATCTGGTTCCAATTCAAATTAAAGTGAACAGATCCATATGATTAATTCAGTGAGAAAGAAAAGATTCTCTATTAAAAAAATGCAAGCAATAAGGGCTTACCAGGGCTGCACCAGAAATTCCCTCTACACAAGTCAGATCACTTGAGACTACATAAGTTTCAAAAGCAATCATCCTCTTTGATAAATGCCTCAGGAAGCCACTCTGTAATCACAAGATAAATCAAAAGCCTTAAATCCATAAACCATATGATCTAAACCAACATTCTTAGCTTAGGTTATGGCTGAATTCTCTTGTTCCACTGCCATTCAGATACGCATATGTTCTCCAGGAGAAGGAAAACACTACACACTTTCCCATCTGCAAAATCTGAATAATTTATTCAGATTAACCTTAAAGAACTCTTTAAAACATCACAGTATATTAGTGTACAGTTCAGAAATCATGCTTTTGCTACAAAGCATAAATTTAATGGTAAACCACAAGATGTTTTGTCATTATTTCAAAGCAGCATATCATTGATGACAAACCTGCAAACATATATTGTCAGGACTAAGAACTGCATTTAGTTTTGTGAAACCACTGAATTGCCACGGAGCAATCTGTATGAGAACTGTCATAATTGACAACATCCATTGTTGGCGGAAGTAACACAGTTCAGAAGTATATTTTTAGGAAAACAGTATGTGTCTTAAGTTTCTATGGAAATATTAATATCTTCCAGACAAGAGAAGTATCCTGCAGAACTGCATGATGGTATCATAATGCACAGAAAAGGTGTTTTGGTTTTCATCTCTGTTTTCCTGTTAACAGTATTTACTATTTTCCAAATTTAGTTTTTAAGACAGGTATCTGCTACTGGTTTTCAGAGATCTCATTACAGGATATTAACCTTTGGGGGAGAAGGGCATATTTTCCTCAGGACTGATGCTTTTTTGTTGGTTTATCAAAGTAAGGAGTGTTGTCTTGTAGCAGATCTTTCCTCGGTACAAGCACTGTAACAGGAGAAAAAAAACTGTAAGAATTATTTTCTGGAAAACATTATTTAAAATGATAAAGTTGTTTTTACATTTGCAAACAACAGATCAGGTTACTAAAATGAGAGTCTGGTAAGCTGACAAGCAGCATAACGATAACTATCTAAGACAAAACTGTATTAACGTTTACCTTCTGTTTGTCAGAATATCTCCTTCAGCTTTTTTCCCTTTAAAAGCCCTGAAAATATTTTAATGACATTAAGAATCCATAAAAAGGGCAAAGCGCTGCAGTATCTTTTAGCAAGAGAGAGAACGACAATTTTAACACTGCTGACAATCCTGAATCACATTATGTTTACTTAAACAGTTTCAAAAATGAGCATTACATTTGACCTATCCCCTCCTCCCCCAGCTGATTTAAGGTCCATAACATTTATCTAGTTACACCTGTTTCAAAGGCCAGCAGAAAATGAAAGAATCAAATGAAAGTCGTCACCACTAACTCTTCAAAGAACAGCAGCATGTTGGGGTTTGCCTAATTATGCGCCATTTTAAACCGCTCCTGGCTCAAAGTTCTGGCCATCTGGCTCTTCAGATATTGGCTTGGCCTTTCTGCACGCAGGGAAGGAGCTGTGTCATGTCACATTTGCTCAAGTAGCTGCAACTAAAGCACAAAGGGCTGAAAGCATAATGCTATACTTCGACTAGGTCAGATACTAAAGGTACAGTAAACCTGTAAAACATTGTGCGCGTGCATGCCTGTGTGCGTAACACGGAGTAACGTTCCGTCCAAAGTACGCTGTTTCCCTATATATCCTGAGAAAGAAAACTGATTTCCTCGAGGATATGTTTCTTTTGCATCTGTGGATTGATACTGATGCATTTAGTAAGTTTCTAAGACCTTTACATAAAAATTCAATTGCATTTCTCTTAAAGACAAACACAGACGAGTAAATTAGGACAAATCATGTTGATATATACAGCTACAACACGTGCATGAACGAAATAAAAAAAGAAACAAAAAAGATTTAGATTTAAACTAATCAAAAACAAAACAAAAGCTCCAAATAGATAAAGACTGAAAGAAGAGTATTTTTTACCTTCCTTTTCAAAGCTAAGTTTTGAACGTACAGTCAACAGAGCAAATCAAAATCATCAGGACATACTGCATGCGTGGTGTATCACTAAAATGTAAGCTTTACTTTTATCAGCTTAATTTGAAATTGAAGTAGAATCAATAGAACCAAGACATTCGTATGCTAGTGAATAATGTGACTCAGACTGAAACATTTCGCAAAACAATTTTCAGAAAGGTTGTCCAATACGACCAACAAGCTTGTAACTCAAAATGTCTTCTCTTTAGTAAGCAATACCCTCCCTAATTTAATTTAAAAGATTTATCACTGAATCCAAACATGACTATACTCTGCTTTGTCTCAGATTCTTATTAATAAAAGAGTAACGTTGCCCTATGCACTGCATCCAAAGTCATGACAGCACCGAATAATCTCATTTCATTAGACAAAGTATGTTCACCTTATGAGTATTCTTCACTATCCAAACCTAGTTCTGGCTTTTGTTTTCAGAATATATACGAAATAGGTATTTTAGAGATGTAAGTTTGCAAAAAACCCCACCAGGTAGCTAAATTACATATTGTCAGCTATAATACAAAAAGCTAAGCATGAGAAGATTCTGACAGTAACTCGCCTAGGGAAACAAGCTACAGCAGTAGGTTCCTGAAAGTTCTTACCCAGCTTCTCCTTCCTCTCTCTTCTTTCATGCAACATAACAATTAATTCTTTTTGTTTGCTTGTTTGTTTGTTTTTGCTCAGGATGAAATAAGGGCACTACACTATGTTAAATACAGCCCAAATATAAATATTTTATAACACTGATTTTTTTCCAAGCAGGCCAATATACTTCCTATAATAGCAAACTGAACCTTCATCTACAAGGTTTCTAAAACAAACATACAGCACCCGAAATGAAACACTATGAAAAGTAAACTTCTCAACGAAATTCACTTAACTTCTCATTTGCAAACAAAGAGCAATTCAGCCTGCCACTTTAGGGTATATTACGGGAGATTTTGAATGTTTTTACTATACTTTAATAATTAAAAGAAGAGCTTATTACGAAGCAAGTTAAGTTCACGCTATTTCTTTCATTCCGAAAACTGTAAACTAGAAAACCATAAATAACAGAATGTTTCCATTGTCTATTAAACTTTCCTCTCTTGGACAACTGAAAGGTTTTAAAGACTCACTTATTCTTGTTCCTGCAAATGAAAATATTTCCACCTTTTTTTTTTTTTTTTTTTTAATAAAATGAAGCCCAAGCCTGTCATTTAATACAGGAACATACAATAAAGCAGCAAGGCAGCTAACTGTAATTCTATCAGCACGATAGAAGTCAAGACGGAGCGTGAAGATTAAGGATCAGAAAGGACGATTTTGCTCTGCTACAAATTCTTTAACCATAGCCATACTGGAACTGAACACCTGTACAATTTACTACACCTAAAAGCTCAGACGGCTTTGCTTTACAAGCAGGCAGGGATGGAAACAGCAGGATGAGACAGTCAGTAAAAAGGAACAGCAGTGGAAACTACACCTATTTATAGGTACAATTTGACATAGCACTCACGATGCTATTCAACATAAACAGCTAACGAAACACAGACACAATTGTCTCAGATCCCTAGAAATTCTGAACTTGTTTCTAGAAATTTTCTAATGACATACTCTGTACTGCCACTGACATGAAGTTCTAGTAAGTGCTATACTAGATTTGCCTAGTTCAAAGTGCTATCTGACAGTATTCAAAACTAGATTCTCAGGAAAGGTGCAAACGCACTAAGACCTGCTTACAGAACAGCATTTAGGGGTGAACTTTTTGCTACAGGTTGACATACTGTGGCATAAAAATCTATATATTCTTTCTGGAAAGGAAGTAACTTTTATTCATTTAATTACAATATGAAGCTGAACATCAAGTTTGATTTTCTGCTTTTGTACTTGTTGAGTAACACATTGCTACTGGTCTCAAAGACTACTCTGCCACGACCTTTATGAATTATTCATTGTGTAAAATAAAAATGTAATTCTTTTTATCAGCTTTGAATTGAAATTCTAACTTCACTGAATACTCTCCTGTCCTGGTATAATGAAAAGGTACAACAGGAATACCTATCCATTCTATCCATTTTTATGCTATTCATTGTTATACTGTGAACTTTTATCATGATGCTTTGGAATTCCTTTCTAAACATTCCTGATATTCTACTAGAGGATTACCAATCAAGACTTCAAATATTTCTCACTTCAGTATATATTCCAAACACACACATTAAAACACACAACTTTCACACTATGATGGCTGTTTTGAGGTTTGTTTTGTTCTTGAATATTCAAGTAAACCATAACTGATCAGTTACTTTTTGTATCATCTCATACAAATTACTATAGTAAGATCAATTATACAGTGATAAGCAAAGCTTAGATCTATCCAAAACAAATATAGGAAAAAATATTAACAGGCAAGAGTGACGTCCTCTGCGTTTACAGGCAGGTCAAATGCACTCTGTACAGATTCACTCCACGTTTTCTTGCTGCAGGACAAAGTTTTCCTGACTAATACTGGAACCTGGAAGACTTTCTTCTTCCACACAGACCTCGGTGTCAGCGTTTCTCCAAAAGGTCTATAAAAATCAAGTTCTATTATTGTCTGAATACCCTGCAGGAGCTGGGAAGCTAGCAGCCTTCAGGAATGGGGTAAGTACTTTAACCCGTTGCCTTGAAACGGCTCTTAAATGAGCTGAAGTTCCTTGTTACTGGAGGACTGAGGAGTGGCAAAGTGGGGCAAAGTGCCAGTTTGAAGAACAAGATGATTTCAGAGGAGATCCGGGGAATGAGACTCTCAAACCAGACGTCTCTACTAGGTAATTAGCCAAACCACCAGCAAAATTCCTAAAAAATCACAGAATTGTTGAGGTTGGAAGGGACCTCTGGCGATCATCTAGTCTGACCTCCTGCAAAAAGGAGGGTGAGCTAGAACAGGCTGCCCAGGACCGTGTCCAGTCAGGTTTTGAACATCTCCAAGGATGGAGACTTCAGAAACTCTCCAGGCTACCTGTTCCAGCATTCAACAACCCTCAAAGTAAAAAAAGCTTTTTCTGTTCAAACGGAATTTCCTGTATTTCAGTGTGCCCACTGCCTCTTATCCTGTCACTGTGCACCACTGAGAAGAGTCAGGCTCCGCCTTCTCTACTCCCTCCTTCCTCCCCATCATGTATTTACACACATTGGTAAGATCCCACCAAGTCTTCCTTTTGGCTAAGCAGCCCCAGCTCTCTCAGCCTGTTCTAATAGGACAGAGGCTGCAATCTCTTAACTATCTTCATGGCCCTTCACTGGACTCGCTCCAGTATGTCCATGTCTCTCTTGTACTGGGGAGCCGAGCACTAGACACAGCACTACAGACGTAGCCTCAGCAGTGCTGAGGAAAGGGCCCCCCTCGGGCCTGCTGGTGACTCTCTTCCTAACACAGCCCAGGATACCATTGGCCTTCTTTGCCACAGGGGCACGTTCAACTCGTTGTCCAGAAGGATCCCCAGGGCCTTTTCTGCCAAGCGGCTCTCCTGTCAGCCGGTCTCCCCAGCACGTAGTGGTGCATGGGGTTATTCCTCCTCGGGCGCAGGACTTAGCATTTCCCTTTGTTGAACTTCATGGCATTCTCGTTTGCCCTCTTCTCCAGCCTGTCGAGGTCCCTTCGAATGGCAGCACAACCACTGGGGTGGGTATCAACCACTCCTTCCAGTTTTGTATCATCTGCAGACTTGCTGAGAGTGTACTCAGTCCCATCATCCAAGTCATTCATGAAAACGTTAAACACGTATTAGCCCAAATACCAACCTCTAGGATACACCAATAGTGACTGGCCTTTAGTTGGACTTCATGCCACTAATCACAACCGTCTGAGCCCGGCAGTTCATCCAGCTTTCAGTCCACCTCACCATCCACTTATAATAGTTAATCATTTAATCATTTTGCGTATGAGGATGATGGGAGACAACACTGAAAGCCCTGCAAAGAGCCAAGGTAAACAACACATGCTGTTCTCCCCTTGTCTATCAAGCCAGTCATTTCACTGAAGAAGGCTAACAGGTTAACCAGCCAGGCAGCATTTCTCCTTCATAAATCCATGCTAACTACTCCCACTCGCCATCCTGTCCTTGATGTATTTGGAAACAGCTTCCAGGCAGGCTGGTTCCATCACTTTCTCAGGGATTCAGATGAGGCTGACCGGCCTGTAGTTCCCTACATCCTGCTTCTGAAAACAGGAGCAATATTTCATTCTTTCAGTCCTCAGGAACCTCCCCCAATTGCCATGAGCAAAAAAGGATGACTGAGAATGGCTTTGAAATGACACTGGCCAGCTCCCTCAGCAGCTGTGTGTGTTCATCCCATCAGGTCCCATGGATGTGTCTCTGCCAAATTTGTTTAAATGCTCCCTAGCCTGATCCTCCTTTACCAAAAGTAAGTCTTCCTTGCTCCAGATTTTCCCATTGGTGCCAGGGACCTGGGATTCCTGCAAGCAAAATTTTACTGAGGCAAAGGTGGCATTTGAGTGCCTTGGCCTTTTCCATGTTCTTTGTCAAGAGGTCTTCTGCCCCATATAGGAGCACGCCCACATTTTGCATCATCTTCCTTTTGCTGCTGATATATCTCTAGAAGCCCTTCTTGTTGCCCTTTACTTCTCTTGCCAGGATCAACCCCAGGTGGGCTCGGGCTTTCTTAACACCATCGCTGCACACTCAGACAGCATTAGAACATGAATTAGCATTAGAATATGAACATGTGACCTTTGCAAGGGAAGTTCTGCCTTACAGTCTCTGTAAGAGTTCTCTGAACAGCTCTTGTGAGGCTACAGCAGTGTGCTTGGACTTCCAATAGTCCCTCACTGAACGCTTAAGAAAACAGCTGCCATATTACGAAAGAAGGTCTTGCATGGATAAATCACTGGTTAAACTGTGGGAAGCAGAGGGTAAATGAACTAGTCTCCCAATGCAGAGATGTCACAAGTGGAGTCCTGCAGGCATTTTTGCTGGAATCTGTCCTGTTCAACATATTTGTAAATAACCTGGAAAAGCAGGTGAACAATGGAGTGCTTTTTAATGATTTTATCAAAAATAATTTCATTAGGTGACAGGTCTACTTCAAAGAAACGCAGAAGGATATTAAGATTGACAGAGTAACCAATAAAATGGCTGACAAATTTATATATAGAGAAACGCAATGCAAACAGGTAAAAAAAATTATAACTTCACAGAGAAAGTGATGGACTCAAAGCTGACTATTATCATTCAGGTGAGAGTCCAATGAATACAAGATAAACTTGTAAATAAAAAAAATTAAGCACAGTGACCAGCAGCAACTAAAAAAAATGAATTTTAGGATTAGAAATTACTAGGAAATGAATGGAGAACAAAAGAGAAAACATCATTGTGCTATGGTTCAAATCCCTGGTTTGCTCATAGTGCGATGACTGCGTGCAGCTCTGATGCTTGTCTTAAGAAGGCTACAGTAAAACTGAAAAAGGTAAGGAGAACGACAGTAGAATGATCACAGGCATACAGCTGTTGTTTCATATAGAAGCTATCCCATAGGTTTAAAAAAAAGCAAAAAACACACACAGGGGAGGCAATAACAGGCTAAAAATTCACGAGCAGCTTGGCAAAAATGGATATAGACTGACAAGTAGGAGCCAGGTTCAAAACAAACTAGAGAAAGTTATTTTTCATACAGACCTTAGTAAATTCTTTGTCAACAGCACTGTGGATGCAAGAAATTTGCATGGATCACAGGGAACAAGCACATGAGAGAGAATCCACTGAGGATATCTAAAACCGTAATGGTTTCTGTCTCAGTAAACGTCCCCAGATGCTAATAGCTGGAAGATGTGAAAGTGCTATGGAAAGTATACTTGGTCTGCTCCTACTCTTTTACTGCCATCTGCTTATGACCACTGCGGAAGACATAACACTGGTCTGGACACATCTTCGGACTAAACCAGTAAAGCTGTTCTATAGTGAAATGTTTACTAGTTTAGCGAATCCAAAATTGGAAACAGTTACAAAGATTTATAAAGACCTGAGTAAAGAGAAGTGAAAGAAAACAATGTATACAGCTAAAGATTTCTCCTATCCTATACCATGCAGTGGTAAGCTGAACCTACTATTTCTCTTGAGTTTGACTACGAGGTATAAAAGGACTTCTAAACTCGGAGCAAAAATTTCAGAGTTTGAGAGGCTTTGTTTCCAGGCCATCACTGCATCACAAATCTCCCAAGATGTAATTTGGTCAGGCATATTAAAATTTAAATTGCCAGTATAAGGTTTTGGGTAGAAGACAAGACTCAAACCTAAATGAAAAAATTATTCTACGGGCAGCAAACATTAACTTGTTAGCTCTCCTCAGGCAACTTCTACCTAACTGGTAGCACCTACAGATCCTGTGACTAATTTAGAGTTAGACATATGCTGACTGACTAGCCAGTACCTGCATGCTGGCTTACCAGCTAGATGCTGTCACTCCTACTGGATGAGGAGCGAAAAGAAATAACCGAGTTATAACTTCTTTTCCTCAATGATGACATTAACAGCAGTCTCTGCCTCTCTATTAAGCCTCTATAATTCATAAAATCTGCACAGAAACTTTGTATCTTTGAGATCTCTACCTCTCATAGGTAGTGACACTAATCAACAAGCTTAAATTACTAAGCCTACAGGCAGGTAAATGGACAACAGGCAGACATTTCACCTCTCTGTATCCCTATTTAGTTTTTAAGGTTGATGTTTATTTACTGAATTTCAACATCTTTTAACATCTTTTTAACATGCAGCTTTACTCACGTATTTTGTCAGTATCTGTGTGAACTGCCTGAATAACAGAAGTTCTGAGAATCACTTCCACATCTGAAGCTATTTTCATAAGCTAACAAAGAAAAAAACAAAAGAGCAGAGTAATTAAAGTGATATACAATTATTCTTGTAGGCATTTTTCCATACTAGAGAGCTATTCAAATACCAAAGCCAGTCAATTCTATTATTCAGAAAGCTATCTACACATAGCTTTCATTTTGGGGATCCTGGAGTACTTTTTAAGTCGATATATCAGCTACCCTGACATACAGCACCTGAGGAAGGAAATGAGTCATCCGGCTGGTAACACACAGCAGTATAAGACTGATAAATCCAGTTAAAATTGCAAAGGAATAAGGCAGAACACAATTAGCAAAACAAGTAACTCGTTCCAATGACTATAGTCACTGGTGACTGACTTGTTTGCGTTATACCTCTGTCAGAAATAAATGAAATTGCACAAGTGAGACACTTTGGGAGACAATGTCTCTATCCACATCGGGAAGCAGTGTGTACCAACAAGAATGAATCTTTACAGCATAAGAGTTAAGGCCGAGGACTTGACAATTACACTATCTTTCTCTGCCCCGCTTTCCCCTTTAAAGTGTTTGAGCTAGGTATGATCTAGTTCCCCCTACTGAATGCCCATCAGAAGCTACAATGCGTTAAGTTTGCTCTTGAAGCATGATTTCCACTTCAGCTTCATCTTAAAAGTAATCCAGTCACATGCTGTAAGACTGCTTCACAAAACAACCCAAATTACAATAAAGGGAAACAACCCGGACAACTTAAAAAGTGAACTCCTGACCTGAACTAAAACGCTAGGGTAGATGCAGCCACTGCATCCCACATTCCAGTATTGCAGATGGTTATTCCCATCTTCTTAGGTCACTTCATACCTAAATATTTAATGTCACATTCAGAAGACATTGCAGTACTCTACTCCGGCAAAGTAAAACACGTTTGGTTGGCTAATATTCATTTTTTTACCTGATATCTAAAGCAAAACTCCCATGTTTAAACAAATAAGCGTCCAAATTCTCAAAAGTCCTCTACTATCCCTTGATTCAGTTCCTGTACAATAGTGTCACTTCAGCATAGGTATACGTTCAGTAATGACTACAACAACTTATATGATGTTCAAGGATTCTGTAGTTCTGCTGGACTTATTTCTGCAATGGACAGATGGAGGCACTTCTTTCCAACGTATCACCTCCCAGAGTTGGTAGAAACTGCATACAGGTGCCAATGACATTGTATGAATAGATTCTTAAAAGGATGAATGACAATGACTAAATCATTCTCTCAGTATGGACAGCAATAACTAAAAACATCTAAAATACAGAAGTTTCATTTCAGGCCTCAGGAAGCTTTGGAAAATTACTCAGTAAAAAGCGGTAAAAATAGCAACTGAGCAAAAGTAACTTACAAAGTGACATAACAAAGTGTTCTGTTCCTTTGGAATAAAACGTTTTCACCATGAGGAAACAAGAAACAAAAAACAGTGGTAGAATTAACACCTCTATGTTATAATAAAGTAACGACCAGTTAACAGTTCTCCCCTCGCCGCTAAAGAAGAATGACGTCTAGCTTGTGATCAGGAATCCAAATAAGTTCCCATATCTGCCATTAAGGCAAGAGATTATTTAAGTTCTCCATATCTTTGTGTACTTGTCTATACAACAAAGACAGGTAAACTTAAGTGACCCAAGCTACAGCAGATTTTCTAAGAAAAATACACAAAATATTTACATGAAAAACCAGCAAAATTAAACACTTTTCTCCCTAATTTTATTATGAGCCTCAGAATAAGTGCATCAGAGTACTAGAAGGTGCTTTTTCCTTATGTATTTGAGTGCAAGCAAAATTGTATGACATACTAGATCTATCAATGGAGGTATCAATATATTTGTAAACAAAGATCCATGGAAGCACCTTTTAGAACTCACCAGGCTCTCTGAATGTCTCAATAAATATTTTTATTAGCTCTGAGATCTTTTCAGAAAAAGGCATGAATTTTCATGCAAAATGGGGGGAAAAAATCAAAACGGGAGGTACCTCATTTATTTTCGCTGCAGATGTCTCATTTCGGTTATTTTTGAATTCTTCGTTTATCTTTTGTCTTGCAGCTAAACACAGTAAGGAAAGAAAGCATGAACAGAACAACTTTATTTTTACTTTTTCAGCAGCTCATAACCCACATTTCTAAGGCCGTTCTGACTGTCTCTGGGCAATTTGTTGATCAGGTCCGTATCTACGTTCCTTTGGCTACCTACTCCTTTCCATTAAAAAAACCAAAAACAACAAAAACCACATCCCTTTCCTGGTACAGTCAGCCCAAAGTTTTTTCAATACAAGATTTCCATGGAATTCAGGTGAGAATGTCTTATTTAGATTTAATTGGTGTAAGGATAAAATATAATACTATGACTGCTCATCTAGTATTCTGAAATTTAAAAAAAATTAACATATAGACACTATTACTAAAAGTTTCAATTACTACAGAAGCAATATTGATTACCTGAACAGCAACTATATAAAGAGGATCAAGTCAAATGCTTAGTACAGTTAAGCATGCTTTGACTGCACTGAGGGGGGTGTGGGGGGCAAACTAAAAAAATCCCAGAAAGATCACCAAGGCTCCAAAAAGAGACACTTTCAGCAACATTATACTTCAGAAATATGGCACGAGTCTAACAACTGGGTTTTTGTTTCCACTTATAGGATGTCTGGCTACAGACACACAAAAGTTTCCTCAATGGCTGTCTATTAAAAGTGGAAGGCAATCGTTTAAAAGGAGATTTTAAGAATCATTTTCTTTCTAACTGTACTCTTTTGTCTGCTACTCAACTTTGTTTTCATTAGTCCTTCTAAGTTCATTCTCTCTTACAAAATACACACAAACACATTTGGTAAAGAAAACCAAACTGAATGTTAATTCACTCCCCTTCATCAATTGTTCTATAAACTGGAATTAACGTACCCTCCCTCTCATTAGCACTGTTGCTTCTGTTAACAAGGCTAAATAGCATTAACGACTTGATATCGTTTGTCTTTGCCACACACTCTCACAACAAACACAGGTAGAAAATGGTAAAGTTGCAAAGAAAAGTGAGAAAGAACCACATACAGTTAATGATTTCTCTTGAGCGGCTGGACTGGATGAGACAGGGAAATTACTGCTGAAATTACAGTCACCTTAAGATGGCATAAGCCAACAACGACAACAGAAGAAGTACTCCTCTCTCCTTCCCTTGCATTTTGGTTCTTGCATCACCTACTCACTGGCCCCAACAGAAGCATTAGCATAGTTATGTACTATCTGGCACTGCAGAATTGATTTGGATTAACACTAGCCACCTCCACATCCTCCAAAACGGGGAATCTTTAGCTCCCTTGTCCACCTTTCACGCTCTTTCTGAAAAACAAAAAAAAAACTAAAACAACAACAACAAAACCCACCCCACCTCCAGCAACACACATGTAATCCCCTCAGCTGATTAGAGAGCTGACTAGAGGCCCTATCAAGTCTTCACAGCCACAGCAATGACGCTTATTTTAAGAATGAATCATATTCAGGCAACGTAACATGCAAGGAGAAGAAAGTTCCAGAGAGAGAGGTGACCATCTACCACATAACAAGAATATCTTACCTTCTAAGGCTCTGGTATCATTTTTAAAAACCTCTTGTCGGGTTCTGTGCAACAATTTAAAAAGCTTCAAAACCTGTCAACAAAATATCAATAGAATGTTTGCTAACAAGATTCTCATTTAAAATGAATATGCTACCATTAAGGATATTTTGCTTTTGCTTGATATTTTATGTTCTTTCCATTTAGTATGTAATTTGGTTGGAAATCAATTTCTTATATACTATGTCTCAGTTCTTGATCAAATAATCTGCAGATAAAGGAAACCAAAACCCTAGACAGTTTGGACATTTCAAAATCATCTGAGATGCAAGAAAGTACTGGCACTACACTTATTATCACTTTGCATGATAGCGATCTAACCCTGAAACCACATTCATGCAAACATATTTCTCATGCCAATATTTAAAAAAAAAGAGTAATTGCCCAAGTCAAGTTACCTAAACAGACTTTGAAGAGTATATCATTGAATTCAATACTCTCATTACAAAGAAGGAAAGAAATGTAAATGGCTACAGTGTTCTCATGTTGTGAGAAAGTATTCTCACATGTGAGAAAAGAGAATTTTAAAAGGATCTCGACTAGCAGATTAACTAATTGGCACAATTATTTTTAATGTCTCTGTATAATGTTTAGGTATGATCTTCTACAGGTGATATGGCAAAACCAACACAAAACAAAGTCCTTCCCTAAAAATAAGTAATCAGATCAACAAATAAAAACCTCAGTAAGAACAAATATTCAGAAAGATTAGGATTTACAACGTAGAGATGACAGACCTCAGTACGGACATAATGCAAAAACAGGGAGAATGACAGCTCATAGACATATGCTTTTGGCTGTTTATTCATGCATATTGTCATGAATTACAGAAAATATCAGGATATTTCGATTTGTGGTCAATCACTGACAAGCACCAAAAAGTCTGAGAACATGTTATAGTTATCTTTAGTACTTCCTTGTGTGTTTAGGCACCTTTAGAAGGCACAATTTTAGGTATTTCCTCATAATTTTCAACTCATCCAGAAGTATGCACACACAACAGGACAGTCAAGAAAAGGAAAAAGTCATAAAACAGTAAGAACAGGTAATCTTCCAGTTCAATGCGGCTTCTATAACATAAAGTATCAAGGGGTTACTTACAACATTAAGGGACAACTTAAAATAACAACAAATTCAAATGTCGCTTTGCTTCAGTAAAGTGCTTTATAATTTCTATTGTAATTTATGACTACATATGCTGCTGTTGAGGACATACTTTCCAGACCTTTCTGGAAAGAAGATAAACTAGTGCGTTCCCAATTGTTTAAGATTCTTGGCGATGCTTCTTTAAGTTAAAAATCTGAGTCACTTTTACAAGACTTAAAGCATGATCTGACAAGCAGTTAAACAAATGTGAGCAGAAATATATAAAAGCGAGCATGTTAACTCCTGTTTGTCTTTTTTGTCCTTAATAATTCACAGTTAACCAGGACTAGGTTGTCTCCAATTGCAGTGTTCCCTTTGTGGCTAAAACTGTGGAAAGTAGAATGAATAGAATTAAGAACTAGCATATAAATTCGTTCTTCTGTAGGCAGATTTTAGGAGATTGATTGCATTATTTGGACAGCACACCTTGAAATATTTCCAGCCTGTAATATTTTACCATCTTTGCAAATAGCAAAATTAATATTACAAGTAATTTTGAGCCACAGACATACGCAGGGTGAAACCAGAGGCCATATTTTCTGATTATTTCAAACTCTGATCAATACTTTTCAGGTATCTTCCTCTAGCACTGCTTGCATAACATCAGATCACAGAAGTTACAAGCATAACATTACATGACTTCAAGGCAGGGTTGACCAATGCACTGACTCCTTCCAGCACTGTAGTCACCTAGCAAAACACAGAACCCTCAAAATACCCCAACAGGCTTTACAACACTTCTATTCTGAGACAGGGGGCTCAAATCCCCAGAAAAGCAAGGGTGAGATAAGCACCTGTTTTTCTGCCGTTGCTTTTCTACACCTTCCCATCATAACTCATTCTGTTAAGGGATTTCAACCACTACCTTACTGCTCTCTCACTTTCTGCCTCTTTTTTCCACGATGGCCTTTGCATACAAAAGTGCACCTTCTATCACCAGGTGTAGCGTCCTTCCTGTCCTAAAGCCTCTGCCTGTTGATGCTACAAATGCTTACTACTCTCTGGTGAAATATAAGGAAAAATTTCCTCACATCCCTAAGAATACAAATACATTTCAAGTTCAATTAGTATTTACATCCGCAGGCTGCCGAATCTGAAGCAGAACACAGCCTGTCTTCTTTGGTGCTGTGCACATTACCATCAACTCCAAACAGCCGAGCACCAAGCACCACCGTATGACTGACAACCAGATCCCGTTTGCGCATCACGACATTAAACTGTCCAGGGCACGCTAAAGCACGACTAACTCAGAAAACGTTGAAATGCTTTATTCCAAGTGGCCCTGCACCTCCTGCCAGCTCCCCTCTGACAAACAGCCCGTCACCCGGGGGCAGGCTTTGCTTGTGGCCCCCGAGCAGCCGGCCCTGGTCGCAGCGCTCCTCTG